GGCTCTTCTCCTCCCTGAGACCCTTCTGTAAGGGGATGTCCAGTTGCCTACAGATGGGCTTTGGGTCCCCATCCCGCTCTCCCCCTATTCACAATGATATGATTTTTTGTTCTTTGATGTCTGATACCTCATCCCTTCAACACCTCATGATCACACAGACTGGTGTGCTGCTTCCACGTGGGCTTTGTTGCTTCTGAGCTAGATGGCGGTTGTAGGTGTTTTTTGAAAATGAGAAGTAATACTGTGGCTTTAAGAAAACGGCATAATTCTTAAGTACATTTTTTTCCTGAAAATGAAAAGATCTTTAGAACTAGTGATTGCGATATTGCCATTGGTAAGTTTTTCAGTAAGAATAAATGAAGTCGTCGTTGTTAGGCACCTTCAGTCAATTCTGACTGATAGCGACTCATGTGCTCCCAGTACAACAGAGTGAAACTCTGCCTGGTCCCGCACCGTCTTCACAGTGGTGCCTACGTTTGAACCCATGGTTGCGCCCACTGTGCCAGTCCACCTTGTTGAGGGCCTTCCTCTTTTCGCTTCTCCTCTACTTCACCAAGCATGATGTCCTTCAGGATCGATCAGTCAAGGAGTGCCAGGACATGGTGTGGAAAGGGATCTTCGGTGACTTGGTTGGCGAAGAGGACAGCAAACTTGCCAGTGGCTGTCCGAAAGCTGCCTTAGCTCCTCGGGAATCCCCGGCTCTGAATGCGTAGAGGAATTCGGAGTAGGGAGACGAGAGTGGGAGGAGTTACCTTTAACCAACTCAAACATAACTGAACCTTCCCCTGAAAGGTTAGGCTTTCAATTGATGGCTTTATGAGGCGTTTTGAAACCTCAGAAACTAAAATAAATGTAGATACCTACCATTTAATTTAGAGGGCAGACACCTGCAATTTAGAAACATTAACCAAAATGAACGCGGAGAACAATTAAAGGAAATGAAAACAAGAAAATTCACAAAAAGAAGTGCTGTGATGATTACAGGGCATTGAAAAGGTTTCTTTTTTCACAAACACTGCACGCGAGTTGGTAAAGTGCTTTCTCAAGATGGTGCAGAATTCTGAAACTATATGTATGTTAGCATTGAACAAATAGCTCAACGTATTGTAGAAAAGGAGAGCCAGATTTCTTTCAGAAAAAGAAGTTACAAATGGGGAGATAATGTTAGAATGAAGTGAAATAAGATAACGAAATAAATACAGATGTGTATACATATATGAGCATGTCCCGGCCCGGCCCACTAAAGACCCGGAAGCAGTGACAACCCAGTAGTAACAAGCAGATCTAGTGCCAGACTCCAGATTGTAAATGTTATGTGCCAGTAAAAAGGAGCGAGGGCTCCTTGGAGAGACATGTGTTGTTAGGACTTCGGCCCAGAAAAGACCAGATGAGCCCGAAGCTAGAAAGCAACAAGGGTTAAATAGATAAAGCAAAGGCTGTGGCTGGTGTGTCCCAAGGGCCCAGGGGCTGACTTGGGGCGGGGTATGCAAAGCTGGAACCGGCTCAGCAGCACTAAAACCTGGGAGCATTGGAGAAGAACCCGAAGAATGACATTCCTTCCACCTGCTGCACTCAGTGCTGTACCAGGGGGTCTGCACCACACCATTGCATCACTCTGCCCAGTTTGAAGGAGATACCACCGCACCGCACCGTAGAGACTTGTAGGAGGAATGTCATTTTCTCATTTGACAGTGGCTCACACGTCTGACTCATGCCAGAACTGCACCAGGCCACGGGGTCTCCAGGTTTCGCTCTCCAAATCACACCTCTGATCCTGGGGCTCTGTCAGCCTGTTGTTTTGTCAGATGGCGGAGGAAGTGACAGCAAGCCTGCATGGTCTCAATTTCAGATGGGAGTCTAATTTTTCTTTTTAAAACCATGTAGAGCCTGTTGTTAGCATGTATGTAATTTTTAGAGGTAACAGTAACCAAATGGGTTGAGTTTTCTAAACCAAATTTTGTGAGGAGTCTTGGTCCTTTCTTCAGTTACACCTTGACATTTTTAGCCACTCATATTTGAAAATTTTTAGTAGCATTCGTAGAACCATATCAGGACTGATTTTTAAAATTTGTTTTCATTGCAGATGAAATTTTGGAATCCATAAGAGTTAAAAAAGGAGAAATTGATACTGCTCGAAGCCCCGAAGAAATGGAAAAGGACAAGACTGAGGCTGAGAATACCGACCCCAAAGATTCCGAGGAAAGCCGAGAGGAATTTGAAGACCAGGCCCTGGAAAAAGACGATGACCGAACACCAGATGATGAGACTGAACAAGGAAAATCTGAGGGTAAAAAAAATTCTTTGGTTAAATGTATATATATTTCTTAAGAGTTGTCCACAAAATCTCCAGTTCTACTTGCAAAACGACGAAAATTTGTATTGCAAGCAGCTACTTAATATTTGTATTTGTAAAAGGATCAGGCCACGTGTCTGTGTATCTTTCTCTTGCACACATTCTCTCACTCTTCCACACACCCTCTCAGCAGCCTGTGTAATCGTGCTAGTCAGGTTTATGTATTAGTAGGTTGACTGTAACCATATACCGTCTTTCTCTTTATTCCTTCTAGTAAGTTACACTTCACCTCTGAGATTTGTTCCTGCAAAAAGACTCTTTTTATGCCTGATGATGTGCTTTTGTATGTGGTAAAATGTAGTCCATTAAAAATATTAATTCTTTAATATAGCCAGCGATTATAATTCCTGGATTACCTACTGCGGTAGTATTCCTGAACGGAATTGCTTGGAAAGGACTATAATGCAAAATCAGGTGTTTGGGGGAACCTTCGTACTGAGTTAATGTGATCAACTGTGGCCGTTCAGCCTGAAGCCGTTTTCAAGAACATCTTTAAAGTTGTGTTGTGCATTTCACTGTAGAGCCAACAGAAGTTGGGGATAAAGGTAACTCTGTGGCAGCAAATCTTGGCGACGACACCACAAATGTTGCTTCAGAAGAGACTAGTCCCTGTGAAGGCAGGCGCCCCGAGGGGTGTCTCTCAGAGACCCATGATAGCAGCACCATGGCAGAGAAGAAAGTGGCATCTGAGCTCCCCCAGGATGTGCCAGGTACAGAGGGCAGCGTACCAAGGCCTCTGTAATGGGGGGACCCTTCCCTTTGGTAGTAAGAGCGGAATGTCACCCAAGCCTGTCGAGTGCGTGCCCATTCATGCTGCTTGCTCACCTGCCGGCCCTGGTTGCTCCGTTGTCACCTAACATTTGGACTTGATCCATGTTCTCGTAGCTAGTGCTCGAAACTCATCGTACTGGCCATGCATCCCAAAATCCATGTTAGCTGTTTTTGTGTCTTTTCTCATTAAGCCGTAGCGGCAGCCCTTTGGATTTTAAGTACTTATATTACTAATTGGTAATGGCTCCGTTTCTGAATGTTTTAACCCGTTCCATGTAGTAGTTACTAACAAATTAATTTTATGTCTGCATGGGTTTGTGTGATCCTTTACCACATTTCAGACCAGAATGTTATGTAGAAACCATTGTCGCAGAACATGTCTGCAAGGTGCTTGTCTATGTTGACATAGATATACAATCTAACCAGCCGTTTTATTTAAAGTATTTTAAAATTGAAATTATACTCCAAGTAAGTATACTTAGATGTGAAGAGTGTCATTATACTTGTCTTTCTCTCTCTTTTGAATGAAAAATAATTCTTCCATACAAGCATCATGTTTTGGTTTGCTTATAAAAGACACATTAGAAAATATAGGGGGACAAAATAAGAAATTAAACACTAGCTATCCCTCCCCAAATCCAGAATCGTGTCGTATTATCTTGATGTCAGTTTTCAAAGAACCTTTTCTGTGTCCATAAGAATATCACTTATTTTCAAACTTTCCTTTGCTACGTTTCATACAGAGAATGTAGTTGTGACGGGACTAAGACAGCATTCGTAGTTGGAAGACTTTCGTTCTTGGCCCCCTTCTGCTGTTATGTTCAGATCCTTTACTCTCTCAAGATCTCTTAAAATGTATTTGTTTATTTTCCCCAAGCTAGCAAGTTATGTGGCTGACAACACCGTAGGCTTTTAAGGTCCAGAAGAAGCACTGCGATAAACTGACCATGGTTAGACTCGCCATTAAACCAAAAGAGAAGTCTGGAAATTACAGTATCTGGTGAACTGAGTGAAGAAACAAAATGTTCCTAGCCTGGAAAAGAATAAATTGTTGTTGAAGGGTTCCCAAAACAAACTCACTGCCATAGTGACCCTGGGTTGAAACAGGATTGAAATGTCCTCTTGGGTTTTTGAGACTGTAACTCCTTACAGAAGTACAAAGACTGTCTTTTTCTCACAGAGCAGCTTGTAGTTTAAACTGCTGACCTTGTGGTGGGCAACCCAACTACAAACCACTGTGAGACCAGGGTTGAAAGGCGAGGGATGGAAATTATGCTGCTGTACACAAATACTTACAGAGCAGACTCAAAGGTGGAGATTAGAACTGGTTTTTCGAAATAAGAAGTATTATTTTTAAGTTAAAAAAGGAAATAGAAAAAAATGGTGAAGATGCTTTGACTAGATTTAAGCAAATTCTTTCTAATGAGAGCTGTTTGGGAAATAGAATTTGTGAATCCCCATGCATAAATGCACCATGAAACTCTTATGAGAGGTGATCTCGGGAGAGGAGAGCCTTCTGTTGAATGGATGGGAGGGAGGAAGCCAGAGAGCTGTCATTTGATTCTGTAATTAGATCCCTATTTAAAAAATTATTCTGTCTTCCATGTATTCACAAGTAAGTGCTTGAAAGTAGAGTACTGCCCCAAAATAATATGAAAAGATATCAGTTTTTATTGGGATCATGATTAAATTCTTAGTAAACAGTTAACTAGAAAATTCTTGGTCCTTTTAGATTGATCAGTGTGCCCAGAGCAAACCTCACTCTGGAGTCGGCTCGTGTGCTCTTCTTGTTTATATTTTCACTCCATTGCAGAACGGCATCTGTACGGTCAAAGTTGCCATTTTCACCACTGTTAAGTATACAATTTAGTGGCATTGCTTTATGCCCAATGATGCGTGGTCATCACTGTCCCCCCCAAACTTTTCATCGCCTTCCAAGAGAAATTCTGTGCTCATGAGGCAGTAACTCCCCCCTTCCACCTCTGCCCCAGGCACCCTAGTCTACTCTCTTACTCCGTGCATTCACCTGTCTCAGGTGCTTCATGGACGCAAAATCATAGCATGGTGGGGCTTCACAACGTTTGTGGGAAATTTCTATTACTGTTTAATTCCATTTTTCCACAAAACATTTTGGAGTCCCCTCACATTTACCTTTTGTTTATTTCACGTAGCATAGTTCTTTTAAGTTCTTCACATTGTGGCATGTATCAGGACTTTATTTGTCTTTATGGATGAGTGATACTCCATTTTATGGGAAGATTACGTTTTGTTCATCTCTGATGATCTGTCGCCCCTGCTTACGTTGTGAATGATCTGTGAGTACAAGTGTCTGTTTGAAAAGTCCCAGCTTTTCCGTTTGCTGGGTCATGTGATAGATCTATGTTTAACTTTTTGTAGGAACCGTGGCTGTTAAGTTTTTAAGCCCCGAGTAACCATGGGTAGATTGTTAGCAGACATTGCCTTTTAAGCTGTTTGTTAACTAGCATGTTCATTCCTCAGTCATGTTATTTGTTGTTTTGTTTTTGTTGTAATTTAAAGAAGAAACTTATAATATCTGAGATCCTTTGGAGTTAAACCTTGCAGTTCATATATATATTTTGGCAGAAGCTATGTCATGACAAAATTTAGATGAGAATCAGCCTAAAAAACAATGGTCTGTAGCTGGCTTCAAGTGGGGTGGGAACCATTGGCAGGGTTAGAGCCAAACTCTGTAAAATGCTGTCCCTGCAAGAACTTCAAACCTTGACCATTTAATAACTCAGACCTCTAAGACTGGGGACAGGGGAGGGCGGGGAGCAGAGAGGTAGAGTAGAAAGCTGACATTTCCAGACTTGTACCAGTGCTCTTTAGAGGCAAGGATGGCAAGAATTCATTTTATATACTTCAGACGTGTTGTCAGGAGAGACCGGTCACTGGAGAAGGACATGATGCTGGTAAAGCAGAGGGCAGTGAGAAAGAAGGCACTCCTCAGCGATGGATTGACAGCGGCTGCAAACAGTGGGCTCGGGTATAGGAAGGTGGGCGAGGATGGAGCAAGACAGGGCAGTGTTTCATTCAGTTCTGTATCAGAACCGACTCCATGGGACCTGACACCAGAAAAACTATGAAAGCTGTTTTTAGAACTTGATTAAACTTGTATCAGTTTTTAAACAGAATTTGAGTATTTTTCATAGATTTCTGGTCTTTACCATTTCCTTCCTAGTAATGTGTTTTTATGACTTCCCACAGTTTCTGTGATGACTCTGTTGTTGTTTCCTTCTGTGTAGAACGTGTAAGCTATCACTTTCCCTCTGTCTACCTCGATATAGCGCCATCCTTCTGTTTGCCAAGTTGTCGTCATCATGCAGGTCCAAATATTTTCTCATTGCCATTATTGTGTGTGTATTTTTTACCTGTAATTTACTTATAAATAGTTAATATCCAAACATTTAGAGATTTTCTAGTTGTCTTTTTGTTACTGGTTTCTAGAGTTTACTTCACTGTGGTCAGAGAATTCTGTTAATGATTTTTATCCTTTAAAACTTAGTGAACTTGTTTTATGGTCCAGTGCTTGGTCAGTGTTGATAAATGTTTCATGTGTGCTTGAAGAACATGTTTTCAGTGTGATCTGTAACGGAGGTCAGGGGGTTCACATGGTGGTCCTCATATCTACATGCCTATCTGCTCATCTCCTCAAATCTATTCGCCTATATGCTCATCTCAAATGTACACGCCTGTATGCTCATATCCTCAAATCTACACGCCTATATGCTCATCTCAAATCTACACGCCTGTATGCTCATCTCCTCAAATCTACAAGCCTATGTGCTCATCTCCTCAAATCTATACGCCTATATGCTCATCTCAGATATATATGCCTATATGCTCATCTCCTCAAATATACACGCCTATATGCTCATCTCCTCAAATCTACATGCCTGTATGCTCATCTCCTCAAATCTACATGCCTATATGCTCATCTCCTCAAATCTACATGCCTGTATGCTCATCTCCTCAAATCTACATGCCTGTATGCTCATCTCAAATCTACACGCGTATGTGCTCACTTTTTTTTTCTTCTTTGAGACATTTAAAAATGATTTCTGATTACTTGCTGTATAATTTACCCTTTCTCTTTTGTTTAGTGGGTCTTTTTGTTTTTTGTTTTGGCATTGTAAATTTTGAGGATATGTTATTAGATGTACCTTGTTCAATTAACATTTTTATCATGGTGAAAAGTCCCCTTATGTTGAACTAAACTATCTTTTTATTGTTGTTGATGCTTGTGTATTAAATATCTTTGAGGGAATAGAAGTCTTATGCTTAGTAACCTGAGAGTTACAATCACTTGCCTTCATTTAAGGATCCCTGGTGGTGTAGTTTTGCGATGGGTTGCTAACTGTAAGATCAGCAGTTTGAAACTACCAGCTGCTCCTCAGGAGAAAGATGGGACTTACTACTCCTGTGAAGAGTTACAGTCTCAGAAAATCAGGGACAATTCTACCCTGTCCTGTAGAGATGCTGTGAGCTGGTATCAACTGAAGGGCAGTGCGTTTGGTTTTTTGTTTTGTTTTTAATTCACTTACTTGGCTTTTTAATTATTGTAAAGAATGAAATAAACACCCAGGTAGCTATTGCCCAAAATGAACAGTTAGACTGTAGTTTGATGAACCACATGGAAGCATCTCAGTGGTCTTGTCCCTTGCCTTTTCTACCCAAAGTGACTGTCACCTTGAGTTCTGTGTTTGATAGTATCTTTTTGTTCTTGTTGATATTATCCTTTGTTTTCACAAGGAAAACCCAGACATGAGGCTCTTACTCTTGGAGGTCAAAGTAATGTATTACGACCTACTCCTCCATTATTTGGTTAATCTATATGATTTGGTTTTCTATACACTTCTACTTGAGTCATCTTAACTTACAGCAAGAGTTTTGTGTTGATAGTAAAACTTTGGGAGCGAGCGCCTTACATTGTTCATTTTATATTGTACGGTTGATAGAAGGTTGCATGTTGCTGGAGGTCTTTTGTATTGGCGGCATTACACTATTCTTCTGTGTCTATGATACCACAGTTTGTTTGTCTTCTACTGTTATATTTTAAAGCAAATTCCAGACATCATGTCTTATAAATCTCACCAACATCTCTGAAGAATATGAACATGTTCTTACGCATTGACGGTGCTTCAGTCCTTTTAATAAAATCTGTAATTCATTAATGCCATCTAATAACCATTCCTTATTCAAAAACTTCCAGTTGGCCTAAAGTCTTTAAAAAAATTTTTTTAAAGCAGTATTTGCTGTATTTGAAAGAAAACCAGTGTCCACACATGATGTGTGCCACACGTGATTCTAAAATCTGCATCCCTCAATCTAAGATCCTCTCCCTCCCCTGCTTTTCCACACATGCCATAAGTAGGTGTGTACATATGTATGTATGGCTGTAGAATAAACCCAGTCTTTCCTCCTCTGGCATGCCCCAGAACTCAGGATTTGTCTGTTTCCTTCCTTCATGGTATTGTTTTAGGTTTGTTTGTTTGTTTTGGAAGGCATTAATGAATTCAGATTCAACTTTGGGACAAGAACACTACCTAAGCAATGTGCAGGGCAGCATTCCATTTCTCATCACTCCAAAGGCTCAGCATGCCTGGCTGTTCCCCATTTTGGAATGCTGAGATTCATGGCCCCTCTGTTGTCATGTCCTTTACTCGGGTTGTCTTTTTGAAAGTAGCTCATATTCTGTTGAGTATCTACCCACCCCCCCACCCCCCAATCCATTTTCTTCCACTAACTTAAAGCCATTGGAATACTCTGCAACATAGCTTGAGCAGGAAACGGCCCACTAAATGTTTAATTTTGTCCCTTTAATGGTTACCTTTCAGAGTCAGTAATTGGTATTCCCATTATCTTTAATAGTAGCCCATGAGGTGTGAACTTCTCAGGAGAAAGCACCTGAGGAAGCATGGGTTTCTCTCTTTTTAAACTATTGGTTGGGACTCAAGAGCCCTAGACTTACATGTTTACCTTGGTTCGCTCCGTTGCAGTCGTCATTCATTTGGTTCATGTGTACCAGTAACCAACACCAAACGCTACCATCCAGTCAGTGTTGACACACTGTGAAGCCCTTATGGGTTTTCAAGACTGGAACTCTCCCATGGAGCTGCTGCTGGTAGTTTCAAATGGCTGACCAAGCGGATCATAGCCCAGTGCCTGACCACGACACCACCAGGACGCTAATGTTTACCAGCGGGTGGCTTTTTTGGTGGCTTTGTGTCCTTTTGCCTTGACTTCCATTGTCTTCGTTCCTTTGCCTTCCAGCAAAATAAACTGTCTGAAAGTTGTCTGTCTGTTTCCTGCCCCAGACCTGGGTGAACTCATTTCCTCCCAGAAGCTTTGATGCTGTTTGTCCTGGGAATGCTTTTTAGAGACCACAGTCTGGACCCAGGGCGACTCATTGCTAGGGGACTCCGCTTGCCCCTCGGCTTTTTCGTGAGTAGAGCTAGGATTTACGTACTTGCTAAAGGAGGACGATCCTGAGTCTCTATTGACATCGCAAATTCAGACTGAGGATTACACATTTCCCTGGTTTCACACTTAGATGTGTCCTTCCTCTTACTCCGAGACCCTTAGTTCCGGCCCATATTGACCCAATAAGACACGGTGGATCTGCCCTCTAGGGTTTCCAAGGCTATGATTTTTTGCAAAAGCAGAGCCCCACATCTTTCTCCCATGGCAATTTGGTATGTGGTTTATCCAGTTACAGGATCAGCAAATCCTGGTATACGTGAATAATTATTAGTATCTGATTATGATGATGCTGGTGAAATGGCCTTGGCCTTGGTGGCACAGTGGTTACAAGGTTACATTGGGCAGCCCTTGAAACCACCAGCAGCTCACAGGCGAAAGTGAGTCTTTGTCGTCCCACAAGGAGTTGCCGTCCTGAAGCCCCCGGGAGGCAGTTCTACTCTGTCCTACAGGGTCACTATGAGTCACCAATCAAACTTGGTGGCAGTGAATGAGTAACTTCATAATAGCAATATTGCTGTTGACAGCAAGACTACTACTAAATGGCATTTCATATTTTTTTGCCAGCTCTTTATGCTGTATTTTCAGCAAGAATGTAGTCAAAAAACAATTCCATGCTTACTTAAAATCATTCTTTTTTCTCTATATGGTTATGCCAGCAACTTGTAATAATACAGTAATATTCTTTGGTCTTCATTTGTTTTCAATTTTTGGAGTTGAAGTTCTAACTTGAATTTTCTTGAAAGTGTAAAGTATTTACATGATTCCAAAGCCAAAATGATGTCACCAGATCTATTCAGAAAACTTACCGCTATCCCTCAATCCCTCTGTAGCCATTTCCTTCCCACCCCTCCTGTCCCTTAGCTGTCTAGCTGTCCTTATTCATGTTTAGACCATTACGTACACAGTAGATTGTTTGTAAAAAACAACAGCTAAGTGTGTCCATAAATTTGTACTACCCCCCTTCTTGCACAACACCAGCACACTAACTGGAACTATTACCCTGTACTGGGTACGTTTCTTGGTGCACTTGGTCGTGAAGACCCTTTCGCATCTCGTGGGGATTACTGTATATACTCGGGTATAAACCGGGTTTCCCCAGCACATTTTTAATGCAGTTTTTGTGGTAAAATTGGGTACCAGGTAAAGAAGCAGTGGCACGGTCAGATAAGCATTGGACTGCTAACTGCAACGTCAGTAGTTCAGACCCACTTGCCACTCAGTTGGAAAAAGCTGAAGTTTTAGTTGCAAAACAAACAAACAAAAAAATTGGGGACCTCGGCTGATATTCGATTCGACTTAACACTCGAGTATATACGGTATCCTGCATGGCAATCATTGTGTGTCTCCTCTTTGAGCCAACCATTCCCTTATTGATGGACAGCGTACTTGTTTCTGGCCTCTGTCGGTTGTAAATAATGCTGCCGTGAATAGCTCTGTAGAGCTCTTCTTTTGCCAATTTACATCGGGATAGATTTCCAGGTGTCGGAGTGGAGGTTCAGGGTAAGTGCATTTGTAATTTTTCTAGATTCTGTCAGTTCCCTTTTATTCACGTTGAACTGTTTTGCGTTCCCACTGTCGCTGTGTGGGAGTGTTGCACCCCCACTGCCTCTCGGCCCGAGTGCCTTGCCACTCTTGGTTCTGGCCAGTCTGATGGCTGAGTGGTTTCTGGATTTTGTTTCCTTTTGCATTTCTCTTGGTTTGAATGAAGTAAGCACCTCTCCATATGCGTAAAGGCTCGTCTGCATTTGGTGTGTATGCTTGGTATTGTTCATGTCGTGTTCCATTTTTATATTGGGTTTTGGGTTTTTCCCCCTCAAAACCTTTTTTTTAAAGGAACTCATGGTGCATTCTAACAGCCTTTGTAATACAGTGTCAACCATTTTTTAATGTTGGTGTTGGCAAGTGATTTAACGAATATCTTGTTAGTGGCAAGAACAATCCAGGTGGTGGCTTGACTTCTGACTCATGGTAAAGTCTTAGGTGTTGTTTGTACCAGTGCTAGTTGAGATAGACTTCCAGTCCTCGTGCTCTGTAAAGGGAACCCTTTCTCTTTGCAAGCCAGCAATATTTTAGATAGAGAGCTGCAAAAGCAAACACTTCTGTTCAGTTCTATTTCTAATACTGTTGGAAGACTTTTGAACAACTTCAGACCTTGAGAGATTATCTCAGTGGGAGCACTTCTGCAACCGTCCCTGCACACTCAGATGAACAGTGTGACGTCTTCAGCCGTGGGCCGTCTATAAAATAGCAAGGGCCTGTGTTAATAGACGAGAGATTTTGAAAAAAATAACTCAGGGTATTGCCAGGAGATTTCTTCATATATTCCATTGTTCATACATAAGCAGGTTTTTAAAAAAAATCTTGCATTGTATTGAAATCATAAAACAATGAGACTTTTTTTCCCCCTGACAGTTAATTACTCTTGATGTCATTTCCAATGTAAACATCAGGTATTCTATTTTTCTAGAAGAACCTAACAAGACCAGTGACAGTAGTAACACTGTTGCTACCACTGCCTCCATCCAGCCTAACCTGGAGCACAGTAACAGCAGCAGTGAGCTCAGTGCTGCCCCGAGCGACTCTGCTAAGGCAGCTGATGAGCCTGAAACCGGAGAAAGAGAGTCTCACACACCTGTCTCTCTCCCAGAAGAGATAGGTAAGAGCACACTTCATCTATTCAAGGGAGCTTTGAACTGTTTTTCTTTTTTAATAATTAAGTTTGGTAGGGTGGGGACAATTGTTATTTTCCCCCCTTTTCTTTCTTTTTTTAAAAATACTATGAGCACTTCACACTCATTGTTTTTGTTTAAATATCTCCCCAAAGGTCACTACCATGTCATCAGATTAGCTCGTTTCTCCGGGCAGTTACATTCATGCATGTACATTCCACCCCCTACCTCCCAGCCCCCATCTTATAGAAACCCTTTTTTATAAGCATCGGTGGGATCATTTTGCATGCACTCGTCTGCTTCGTGCTATGCTCCCTCAGCGACGCTAGGTGATCTTGCCGTGTCATCAGTTGGAGTTCTTTTGAACCACTGCATGGTACTCCACCACAAGGCAGAAGCATAACTCACCTGGCTCCTTCTCTGTTAATGAACCTTTGGGCTGCTTTTCCATTACTACAAACAATGGTGCTTTTTAACACCCCGAACACATCTCTCTGTTTACTGGTGCAAGTATTTCTGGCAGGATAGGACGGGGAAGTGGAATTGCTGGGTCAAATGGTAGGTACCGTTGAAAACACGATGGCAACCTCTGAATGGTACATCCAACAGGATTATTTATACCAATTGCTTGCCCACTGACCTACTTTTCCATTGACTGACTTACATTCGACAGCATCCATCTCTTACATGCTTGTGAGTAAAAATCTATTTTAAAACATGAGCTGCTTGTTTATGAATGGGGTAGGCTGCTATTCACGTATATGCCGAACTATCTGTCAACGACTTGTCATATCGTTTGCCTATTTTCTCACTGAGTTCTGGTATTTTTCATAATGCGGTGTGCATTATGGCTATTAATCTTCAGCTTTTACATAGACAGAAGGGGACCTCAGAAGGTCTGTGGCAACATGGAATCATCTTTTAGTTCCCCTTTTCTATAAACTTTTTGGAGCCCCCCTTTATCTTTTTTAAATATATAGTAAACTTGTGAGTTTGATGTCGGACATATTTTTCATGCAGTCATTGCTTGTCTAACTCCTTATGTGTTGTCTTATAGAGAAACCTTTTTATAATTTAATCATTCTTTTTCTTTAGCGTTTCAAGATTTTGTGTCTGGAAAACAACCCCTATCCAGAAATACAATATATTTTACTGCCATTCTTATAAGACTTATTTTACTTGTTTTCAATTCAGCTGGAGTATAATTGTGCATGTGATATAAGGTAAAAATCTGTTTTAGTTAGAAGTGACCAAGACAGCATAAAGTAACTATGTGACAAGGGGATGTGCAAACCCTCCTGACACTGTGGCGTTTAAGCCAGCAGCAGTCATCATTCGATTCTGGTATCAAAGCTCTGTTTCCCTCACTTTCTCGCTCACCTTTTGGGCGGGGGGTGGGGGGTGGGGTGGGGTGCTACCCATGGGCACGCATGCATGTGTATGTTAACTCTCTCCTAAGACAGACAGGCTTTTACCAAGTGGCAGGGAAGGTGGCACCAGTAGTTTGTATCCCACGGTGTGTGACCCAAAGGTAAGGCTCCTATTCCTGCTTCCAATCAGCAGTCTTTGAGGAAAGAGTTGGAGCGGCCTATCTTGGATCATATCGTCCCCACTCCTGTGGCCAGGGCAGGCATGGTATTATGATTGATGGCTCCAAAGTGGAGCCAGGTAGGAAGGGCTTTTCCTAAGCAAGAAGGCTGCTGCAAAGAGGAAAAGCGGTGTAGCCCCAGCCCCAGCCTTCGGCAGCTCCACACATGCATGTGTGCTCGGCATTTGTTCCCATCCATCCAATACATGAGTGTTTTTGTGATCTCACCCACAACTGAAGACTTACCTAAAACCTTTCTCCAAATTCTATGTGGTAACTGTACATTCATGGAAAAGTGGAGTTAAAAGATAATGGAATTTTCCCAGACCTTTTCGAAGCACCCATGTATTTGGAGGCATGTCTAGGGTTCCTGTGTGTTGTACCTCAATTACTTGTGGTGCGTTCTGGAGGGCCCTCATCTTTAGTTCATCTCCAGGAGCCAAAGTGAAAGTTTAACCAGTGGTGACAGTTATCACCTGCTAGTGGGGAGTGCCCTCTGCTCCATCTGGTGTCTCCTGGTTGGAGAAGGGCCATTGGTGAGAGTGGAGAAGGGGACAGAAGAGCCAGGCTCAGATGACGGCCAAGCACCTGTTTCGAATGTGTGTTGCTCTCCACAGTGCTAGCAAGGATCCTTGTTCCTACATGAAACCTTTTGGGAGGGCTCACTGTGCCTCCTTCAGGATTCCCATTCCTGGGCTTTGATCCATACTTTTTTCTACTCTGGTACACCTTCATTTTATGAATTTGGGTTGACCCTGACTGGACCAGTTCAAAGCTCCTGGGCTGGGGTTAGCAGGCCAACCACACCATGTTCCTTGTCCTTGAGGAATTACAGCCTTGATCCGCAGTGTCTGTTTGGACCTGCGGTCTCAGCCCTGTTCTCTTTCTCTGCCTGCGTCACATGTTTTTTCCCTGAGGAAGAATTTCCTGCCTCTGTGCTCTTATTTGAACTTAAAAACTCCAAACTCTTTTCCACGGAGCCCATCTCAACTCCTGGTGACCCCATGTGTGGTAGGGCAGAACTGTGGTCCATTGGATTTTCGAGGACAGACTTTTTGGAAGCAAAACTCCAGGCCTTTCTTCTGAAACACTTTTGGGTAGACTCGAACCACCAACCTTTTACTTAAACCAGCCTACATACAGTTCTTACCGTTTCATGCCTTTACACTTCTCAAGTGGCAGAGGATTAATTGTCAGCCATATTGGATTGTTGTCTGAAAACAACAAGTATTATGTTTTTAAAGCTCTGTGTCACACCCTTTCTGCCCCCAGGAAGTCCAGCCTAGTCCAAAAGTTGCCTCTCATGTCCTTATTGTAGAACTTTATCGGTGGTTCCACGCAGGAGCCACCAGAGTTCGCCTCCTGGCATTGGACTAGACTATCCTGGCCTGACCCCCAAGAAGACTGCCGGTGTTCTGCACAGCCAGCTGCCTTGCAGTGCGTTGAACTTCAGAGGCCGCTAGTTTCCCGGTCTCCATCTTCCTGCCCCATCTTGAACTCATCAGTGCCATATTTGAGGGTCACAATCTTAAAAGACTTTACTGGATTATTTAGAATTTATTGATTTCAAGTGCCAAAAAAGCCCTCTCAAACTTGCTCAAAACAGAAAGCTACTGTCTCGTGCATCCAGGACTTTTCCAGGTAGTTCCAGCCTCAGGTGCATTGGTGGATTCAGGGAAGCAGACAGCAGATCCATATCTTCTCCCCCGTTTTCCTTTCTGTGGTAGGCTTTTGGCCTGTAGTTAGTACAGGTTTCTTCTACGCTGTGGGAGTGAAGTAGCCAACCCTTCCTTCATACCTGCTGCTGTTCACTCACACAAGTCGGAGCACCTCAAGGGGCTGCATAGCCAGGGGAGGGCTCAGTCTGGCCGAGCTCAGCTGCATTGCCCCACTCCACAGGGGCAGGCTTGATTGGCAGCCGATGGAGGTGGGTGAAAGCATCTTCCTTAAGGAAAGAAAAAAGTGTTGAACAGAAAAGGAAAAAAATATATTAGCAAATAGTTTGTGTACTCAATGAGCTTAACTTTGGGTTTGGTTCCAAATTGATCAGGCAGTTTTCCCAGTCCTATATTCCTTCTCTACTTATTTAAAGTACCATCTTTATGCATACAAGGGGGCTTTTAAAAGTTTTGGGAAAATAGGGGGTTAAATGATGACGGAATTTTCCCACAAGCTTTGTGAAGCACCTCCACCCTGTGCCTGCATAATACATTCTGTTTGTCCTTTACTTTGCTAATACCATATTGTCTTAATGTTTTTAAGTCAGGTCTTGTTCCATCTGCCCAACAGAGAATGGACAGTGCTTCGCTAACTTTGAAAGTGTATAGAAATATTTATCTCAAAAAAAGAAAAAAAAAAGAAATTTATCTCAAATGAGATTCATGGGTATAAAGAGCAGAACTTGCTCTTGGACAGTTAAGTCTGTCACTTTTCAAAATTAAATCACTTTGAAAACGTGATAGGTCTTGATTAGACTTAAGCTAATTCAGTTGGTTTTTAAATGAATAAGCAAATATAATGATCTAGAGTCCCTAGGGAGAAATTCATATGGCATTTATGTTGATAAGCCTTAATCTGTTAGGTACTTACACAGAATTTCAGTGGAAATCTTGCCAAAGTTCATTATAACCTTCTGTTGAATGCATAAGCAATATTTTATTAATATGCATATTGAGTCACTGTCTTTCTTATTTATGAGTCTGCACCAGCCCCCTCCCATTTTTAAAATCAGTGAACCCTGAAGCCAGATAATCCAGCCTGTTTGAATTATCTGCCCAATAACAAATGACTGACAGTGCCATTCTGACATGCTCTCTTGTAAGTGCTGTCCTTTTAAAGCACTTAGGGATGAATGACCTTCAGTTTGACTGTTGAAGGACTTTTCCCCCCTTTAACTTTCGGGACCTTAGCGGTGCACTGGATCAATAAGTTGGTGTTGTTTATGATTCACTCACCCTCAGCAATGACTGTGTGGCTTTTCCATGTGGGGATAGGTGATTGCAAATCTGAGAAGTCAAATGGCGAGAGAAGTGAGTCCCCTGGAGCTGGTAGCGGTGGATCCGGCTCAACTCGAATTATCACCAGGTTACGGAATCCAGACAGCAAACTGAGCCAACTGAAAAGTCAGCAAGTGGCAGCTGCAGCTCACGAAGCAAATAAGTTATTTAAGGAAGGCAAAGAGGTGTGTGCTTTCTGTTCAAAAATCTCGTCTGAAATGTGAAATCATTTTAATACCCATGCCTTAAAAGCAGGTAGGTAGCTTGTAGTCCTGTTTTGAATGTTGGCAGCCTTACTTCCAAGCAGAGAAGAGGTAACCAGATTAAAGTTAGGTTTGTATTAAAAGTGCAGTGGGAGGTCTACTTCCTTGCTGCACGGGTCAGTTTTGCACCTTGTTTTCAGCATATGCATGAGTGGGTGGGGGTGACTTTCTTAAAGACTTGCAGATGATTGAAGGTGCAGTTCTAGCTGTCCTCACTTCAGTTACCCTGCAGCTAAAGGAGGAAGCCTCCAGAGCGTAGAAGAGAGCTTCCTCTCTGCCCCACCCCAGCTAGCCAGGGTGGCAGAACTGTGGCTACATCTGTGACCCCCAGACTGGAGGATTAGCAACAAAGTAGATACACAAGAATATACAAGGTTTGGGGGTTTTTTTAAGTCACAGTGACTTTCTTTAGAATGCGACCCCTGGTAAGAAGGCATTTTTCGTAGCAACACAGTCGGTGGTGGTTCGGGAGGTGCCTTGAGTCCGTTCCGGCTCACGGCGACCCGTGGACAACAGAGTAAAGCACTGCTCGGCTCCCGAAATAATGCTTCACCTGGCAGGAGGGGCAGGACTCTGTGTTCTTGGCCGAGCAAGCTTACTGAATTAGACTTCAGGTTCTTGACAGCTCCTTGAGGTCCACTGTTGCTGTCCCGGGGCATTAATGGGCTGGGGTCTCGGAATTGGGAGGATTCTTTTAAAGTACTCAAAGCCGGAATGATAAAAGGAGCAGAAGAACGGGTATCTTTAGGAATCTATCTTTTGGGGGAGTGATCTGTAATGCCCTTCCTTTAAACTCGAACGCACGTTTGTAAGTTTGAAGTGTTGATGAGTAAAGGAAGCACGCAGCTTCCTGACGGTATTTGAGATGCAGGAAAGAAAGAACTTACTAGTGCCTTGCGTTATTGTTAACAGACACTTAATAAACATTCGTTTCCTAGCCCCTTGCTGGCATATCTTAAACAATTAGCTCAAACTTCAAAAGTCCAGCCATAAGATATATCTTGTGGTCCTTGTTTGGAATGATTTAATTACAAAGTGCTAGGAGACATCACATCTTGGAGAGGAATAACGGAATCTCATTTTCTCGGTCAGGTTCTGGTAGTTAACTCTCAAGGAGAAGTCTCCCGGTTGAGCACCAAGAAGGATGTGGTCATGAAAGGAAGTATCCACAACTATTTCAAATTAGGTCAAGAAGGGAAATACCGCGTCTACCACAATCAGTATTCCACCAACTCGTTTGCTTTGAACAAGCACCAGCACAGAGAAGATCACGATAAGAGAAGGCACCTGGCACACAAGTTCTGCCTGACTCCCGCTGGAGAGTTCAAGTGGAACGGCTCTGTCCATGGGTCCAAAGTTCTTACCATATCCACCCTGAGACTGACCATCACCCAGCTAGAAAACAACATCCCCTCGTCCTTTCTGCACCCTAATTGGGCTTCACACAGGTAAAGGGAACGGAGGGCGATTTACCGCTGCTAAGCCTGCTAGATAGTTGTGAAATGCTTATCGGCAGGAAGCGCCCTTCCAAGTGCCGTTACCAATGAATTGAGCGGCTCACTCACTGCCGTGGGGTCAACTCCAACTCGGCTCTACCCTATGGGACAGAGTGGAACTGCCCAGTGTGTTTCAGAGACTCTACATCTTTACAGGCCTTGTCTGTCTCCCACGGAGCAGCTGGTAGCTTCAGACTGCTGACCGTGGGACTGGCAGCACAGTGCATCACAAAAACGTGCAGAAATCCGCAGCTTGCACATACTGAGCCCACACAGCATTTACGAGATTTGCAGGAGGCAGCCTTTATCCATGCAATCTAGTGGAGACCAGAGAGAGTTCCAGAACATGGTTGAAGGTCTAAGGAGTTGGAGCATTAAAATGACTTCTAGAACTTCTACCACCAGTTGCTCCTCAAGAGGAAGACGGGCTTTCAACTCCCAGAAAGAGTTGCCATCTCGGAAACTCACCTGGGCCAGCCCTACCCTGTTCTGTAGGGTTGCTGCGAGTCGGCATCAGCTCGAAGGCAGGGGCTTTGGTTTGGTTTGGGACTTCTTCCCACCTCCACAGTCTCATTCTGTGAGCAACTGAACAGCAATGGTCTTTCCAGACTCAGACTCCCTGCCATCAAGTTGGTTCAGACTCAATCACGACACCACCAGGGCTCTTGGTATCTGAGTGCCCCACTGGATCTGCTGTAGGAGAGATGCCATTGTAAAATAATGGAATTTTCCCACGAACCTTTTGAAACCCCATAGATATGTCTTATAAGATGGCATTATCTTAAATGGCAACCATTGTGCTCTTGACTTCAGATCAACTCAGTGAAATCATTTCCTTCTTGTCTTCTGAAATAAGGGCAAATTGGATAAAGGCGGTTCAGATGTGCAGCAAACCGAGAGAATTTGCATTAGCGCTTGCAATTTTGGAGTGTGCCGTCAAACCAGTTGTGATGCTGCCGATATGGCGGGAATCGTTAGGCCACACCAGGTAAGTGAATTCTGAGCCGTGTGAGTGACGGATAGTGAGATTTCTTTAGGGAAATACTGATGAAAGTTGATGTAAGTGAGAGGCCATATGAATGCCGGCCTCCTCCTCCTCCTCCTCCTCCTCCTCCTCC